GGGAAACCTTTGTCCTGTGGGCAACAAGGAGAATTTGAAAGCTCTGAAAACAAGAGTGTTGGTGATATTTATGAGGTGATGGAACCCAAGTGAATGAAGCTTTACTAAGTTGAACATTTGGCCTCGTGGAAAGCTTTACAGTGTCTTAACTGTGATAACCAAATACGTGTTTTGATACAGAGATTTCCAGGAAAAGTCAGAAAATGTTGGCTTGTACATTGTTTTTGCTTGCCTTCCAAATCTTTCCTGTGTTGTGAGCCAGTTTGAGGATGAGGCTATTTTCTATACAAGCTAACGGTGTCCTCGGGCCCAATCTCGTGACTGAAAGCAAGGTACTGCAGGTGTGATGGGTGCTATCTGAGTGAGTCGTGGTCCCTCTGGGCAGCGGGACAGCTGAGCGCAGGACCTGGTGAGCTTGAGGGGAATCTTGCTGGAAACTTTGAATAGTGCCTGGGTTGAGTGCCTCCTGCCCCGTGGACCTCCCAGGCTATTCCAGGGACCCCAACTGCCACTTAAGGTTTCCATCCTTGAAATTGGCTATATTGTTCTCAGGTACACACAAGACTTTGATATCTCTTCACTCCGGGTCTGTATCACATACACATAAACAACAAATACGCAGTTGCTAGTTTTCTGACTAATCATTTGTTGTGTAGTAGTGCAAGTCAAGGGGTATTTGTTTATTTTATATTGTACCTGACTCTTTTTTCTAAAAACATGACTAGACAAGCTATCTCCTTGATTAATGTGTCAAAGCCTTATTGGAAATTTCATCTCTCGTTAGCTTGAAGTAGTCATGCTGATACATATGCAATAAAAGAATTTTTGTACTAAATTCTTTCTGTGGTCACACAATGTGACTTTTTACAAAGTTTATACTTTTTAATATATGCATGTGACTTAAAAATTAAAATGGTGCTAAAGATTATATGAGGAGTTCTGGTGTTCCAGTAGTTAGGCACTCAGCTACTAACAAAATGTTAACAGCTCAAACCCACCAGTTGTTCCAAGGGAGAAAGATGTGGCAGTTGGCTTCCATAAAGATTGTTGTTCTTGTGTACCATCAAGTAGGAACTGACCCATAGATGATCCTCCAGCGGTGTTTTAGAGGCAGTTAATCACACAGGAGACTTCCCTACTTTCTCCTGCAGAGCAACTCGTGGCTTTGAATCATGTACCTTTGGGATTGCAGTGCAGTTTCTTACCACCGTGTTTCATTGATTATGCAAAGGCATTTGACTGCGTGGATCATAACAAACTGTGGCTGACTCTGAGAAGAATGGGAATCCCAGAAAATTTAATCGTGCTAATGCGAAACCTGTACTTGGACCAAGAGGCATTCGTCAGAACAGTGCAGGGCAAAACTGAATGGTTCAAAATTGGGAAGGGTGTGTGCCAGGGATGTGTCCTATCTCCATACCTTTTCAACCTGTCTGCAGAGCAGATTATCCGAGAGGCTGGGCTCTATGAGGAGACGCATGGCATTAGGATTGGTGGATGATCTATCAACAATCTGCGTTATGCAGATGACACAACCCTGCTTGCTGAAACTGAGGAGGACCTCATGCACTTACTGCAGAGGGTCAAGAACTGCAGCCTTCAATATGGACTGAGGCTCAATGTCAAGGAAGACAAAAATTCTCACTACTGGACCAATTGGTAGCATCAGAATGGATGGCGAAGAGATTGAGATTGTTCACAGCTTCAGTTTGCTCGGCTCCACAGTCAACACTCTTGGCACCAGCAGCCAGGAAATCAAAAAACGTATTGTGATGGGAAAGTCTCCCGTTAGGGACCTCTCTAAAGTACTCAAGAGCAACGGTGTCTCTTTGGTCTTTGCAATCAATTGTTATGCATCAGAGAGTTGGACAATGACTAGGGAGGACAGAAGGAGAATTGATGCCTTTGAGCTGTGGTGCTGGAGAAGAGTATTGAATGTACCATGGACTGCCAAGAAAACAAACAGATTCATCCTAGAGAGGGTTAAACCAGGCTACTCCTTGGAGGCAAAGATTCTGGGGCTTCATCTGACATACTTTGGACATGTTGCAAGGAGAGACAGGTCTTTGGAGAGGGACGTCATGCTTGTTAGGGTGGAGGGACAGCGCAGGAGGGGAAGACCCACTATGAGGTGGATTGATTCAGTGACTGGGGTAATCGGGATGGGTGTGTCAGAGGCAATGCAGTTGGCACAGGATAGGGCAGGGTTTAGGGCTGTTGTACATAGGGTCACTATGAGTCGGAAACGACTCGACGACACATAACAACAACAACAGTCTTCCAGCACTTCCTCCCATAAAGATCACGGCCATGGAAGCCATATAGAACAGTTCTACTCTGCCCTCTAGGGTTACTGTGAGTTGGAATTGACTCAGTGCCAATGACTTTTTTTTACAGTTATACGTACAGTGGAAAATGCACCTTCCTCCACTACTGAACCAGCTCATTTTGTATATTTATCAGACATAGGAGATATATATGTAAAGCATGTGTGGGTGTATTTTTGAACAAGTGGGCAGGTATTTTTATATCTTTTCCTGTCAGAAATGTTCTGAAGTAGGTAATAAATATTGCACCCATTTTGGTGATGAGGGTATAGAGACTGAGTGGCGGGAACCTATTCAAGGTTATGTCATGAACTGCAGAGCTGGAATTCAGACAAGTTGGGGTTTTAAGCAGAACTGGGCCAAGATTCCTAGGCACATTGGTGAAGCTCATGATTAAATCCTCCACACAGGTTCACTTTTACTCCACTTCAAACCTGTGTCTTCACAGATGTCTGTTGGCCATTTCTGTGACTGAGGCCTCACAGAGGAAGAACAGAGATGAGCACCATGTATATCTCCTCTTCCAAGCAATTCAGCCAGGCTCCCCAGTTGCACACAAACCAAGAAACCAAACCCATTGTCATCAATTCTGATTCCTGACAACCCCCTATGTGTTAGGGTAGAACTGTGGCTCCAGAGAATAGGAAATACTGTGATTTTATGGAAATAGATTGCCAAGTGTTTCCTCTATGGCATCACTGGGTAGATGCAAACTAGTGACCTTTCATTTAGTTATCTATTGTCACCAAGTCTTGTTATTGCTCAGGGTGGGCTTCTACAGCAGAGTAGAACTGCCTTACAGGGTGTCTGAGGCTTAAGTGTTTCATATATTTTCTTCCTTAGAACAGTGAGTGGGTTCAGATTGCAGAGATTTCACATAGGAACTAAGCACATAACCACTGTGCCATCAAGACTCCTTATATAACCTTAAAGTTGAAATCCTTTGCACCACCCGGGGAGAGTTTACAAGAGACCTATAAATTGCACATACCCCTTCCAAAGCAGTGTGTTACCATATTGTCCACTCTCAGCAAATAGTTTAGAGTCATCAATTCTTTATTACACAGCCATCTTCAGCATGGATTACACTACAACATCAAGAAAAACTCCTCATGACTGGATCAACAGACATCATCATTATAGATGGAGAAAAGACTGAAGTTGGCAAGGATTTTCTTTTACTTAGATCCACAGTCAAGAAATCAAAAGACATGTTGCATTAGGCAACTCTGCTGTCAAGGACCTCTCCATGGTGCACAAGAGCAAAGATGTCAGTTTAGAGACTAAGGTGAACCTGATCCAAGCCATGGCATTTTCAGTTGCTTCCTATGCCTTTGAAAGTTGGGCAGTAAGGAAGACCAAAGAAGAATCCATGCTTCTGAATTTTGGTGTTGGTGAAGAATGTTGACTATACCATGGACTGTCAAAAAAAAAAAAAAAACCAAACAAATTTGTCTTAGAAGAAGTCAACCAGAATGTTCTTTAGAGGCAAGGCTGTTTAAACTTCCTCTTACGTATTTTGGGTATGCTGTCAGAAGGCACCAGTTCTTGGAAAATGACATTGTGTTTGGAAATTCAAGGGTCACAAAAGAGAAGACGACTCTCAGTGAGATGTGACTGCAACAGTGGGCTTGAGCCTGGTGCACATTGTGAGACTAGCATAGGATAGGGCCAGATCTAGATCTGTTGTTTATAGAGTACCACGAGTTGTAACCAACTTGATCTTACCTAACAGCAACACCCTTACCTTGAATTCTTTATTAAAATGTCTTTCAGGCTAGCGATGTTTTTACTTCCTCTTCATGCTTGAGATCTTATAGAGAGTTACAGCCCAGCCTGACCTGTGTGTCTATCCCAGGTACTGGTTGCCAGTCCTCTTGACTGCAGCTGTGCATCATTCATAGAGCTGTATGCTCCATATTGGTAGCAAAGTTTGCCTCTGGGAAGAAAGAAAGAAAAATAGTAGCTGTTGTGTAGATGATTCTGATTCATGGCAGCATCATATGTTTATAGAGTAGAATCATGTTCCATAGGGTTTTTATTGCCTGAGATCACCCAGCCCATCCTCTGCGGTTTCTCTGACTGGATTTGAACCACCAACCTTTCTTCAAGTAGCTGAACAGTTAACTGTTGTACCATCCAGGAACCTGACGTGACCATGATAATTCAGAGAGCCTGGGCTCTGTCCCTGGAATGGTTGAGCCTTACAGAGCTGGCACAGGCCCTCCTGCCACCACCAGCATGACACAGAAGCAGCATCTGCTAGGTCCTCTTGAACCAAAGGGACTGTTTGGTATCTCAGTGGGAGTTTCATCACCACTTGTCAGAACGCCTGTTGTGTGTTGGAAGGATCTGGAAGCAACAATTTGCCCCAAGAAAACTCTGATATAGAAGCATGTTTGTGTCCAGGGCTTTCTTAGAACTTGTCTCAAAGGTTCTAAGCAATGATAGAGTGAGCCTTGAGTAGGGAAATATCTACCTGTTAAGAGGGAGCGGTCTAACTAGAATGGCAGAGGCCTAATACCTATGCTTACAGAGAAATACTATCAACGGGCCAAATGATTTTCAATTGTAGACATATCTAGGGTGCATGACTAGGATTTTAGTGCCTGATGCTCACAAGATGGAGCTGTGCTGCATGACTTACACTTACCATTTCTCTTTGGCAGGTAGCAAGGAGGGGACACATTCTTCTACCTTCTGGGTATTGCTGAGTATTCTTTTGGGAGCAGTGGCCATGCTGTGCAAAGAGCAAGGGATCACCGTGCTGGTAAGACATCCTTTCCCTCCTAAGAGACGTCTTAGGTTAACCCTGCCCCTGTGACCTCCTCTACTTCTGTATCTCATCGCTGACCTGAAGTTGTAAACCTGTAACTGGACCAGATACGTGTGATTTCATGGTTCTGGCCTTTCAGATGGAGGAATTGACTGACTGCTGTCTGTCATTACCTTGTGGTGTGAATGGTGAGTGGACCATTCATAAGCACCAGTGATTTTGTTCATCTCTGCATAGGTCAGGTAAAAAAAAGAAAAAGAATGGTTTGACTTTGGGGGGAGCCTCTTAGCAGGACTGAAAATAGAGAGGGCACTTTGAGTTATATTTCAGATCCTGGATTTATAAAGGGTAAAGAGCTGTAGTGGATTAAAAGTTGCACTTCCAACCCAAAGGCAAGTGGTTCAAACCCACCAACTGCTACATGGGGCAAAGTGGGCAGTCTCCTCCTAAGCAATTTACAGTCTCTGAAAACCCACTGGAGGTCAGCTGTGAGTCAGTCCTGACTAGGCGACACAAAACAGAAATAACCACCAGAGATTAGAAATCAAGGTGTGATAGCTGTATTTTCTTAAATCTTCCTGTGCGTATAAACTCATTTGTTTGTTCTCTCTTTGTCTCTGAAATGTACCTGTATTTATATTTGATCTGCATGTAAGAATGATACTTAAAACAAAACCAGCACCAAAGTATTTCATGTTCATGAATGTTTGAAGTAAAATTAAAACATCAGTTTTTGCTGTAGTATTTAAAGGAGAGCATGTGATGATAGTAATGTTTCCAGTGCAGCTTGATTTTTAAAGTATTCTTTTTAAGCGTATTAGGCTTCTTAGTTGTGTATTTCAGTTTGAGACCTTGAAGTCTTTTTATAGAATATGTAGCAGATGTGTCATATTATTTGGACTTGTTTTTTTAGCATATTTTGGAGTACATTTTGTTTAAGATACATAGATAAAACTCATTCAACTTTTTTTAAAAAGCTCAATTTATTTTATATCTTAAATTCATTCTAATATCTTTAATTCTGTTCTTAAAATGAAGTTTCCTAATGGTCTTTATTTTAAAAAAAAACTGCTCTTTGTAATTGAGGAGTCCTTTTTACCTAGTCATTTTACACAGATGTTAAGTGAATGGCTTTTATCTGGACAAGTGTATACCTTTGTGTAGCCACTGTCAATAGATCCAACATTTCTATCACCCTTAAAAGGACCCATGTGCCTCTTTTCCATTTTTAAAAGTTAAAATAACTCAAAAAAATTAGTAAATAAGGGCAACTTTAACATTTCCATCCTGTGTGATGGTATAATTCTTATGTTTGAGGTATGCCCTGTGAGTTATACTTAATGCTTCAAACTCTGACTCCTCTCTTGATCCATCCTCACCAGATGATCTCTACTTAGCAGCTAAAATCATCTTCTTAAAACCTAAACTGTACAGATCACTTCCCTCTGTCAAAACCTTCTGTTGTTTTCCCCCATGCTTAGCCCAGAACACATGCCTTGTTTCAATGCCTCGGATGTGTGTTTGTTACTAGGCCTCAGGATCTTCACAAGGGCTCTTTCTTCAATCTGAAGGGCCCCTTCCTTTCTTATCTCTCCTCTTTTTATTTCCATTTTAAATGTTTCCTCAGAGAGGCCCCCTCCTTTGAATATAAGTCCAGTTTCTACAATTGTTCCCTCCTCACCCCTGTCATTCACTATCAGAGCAACTCGTTTGCTTCTTTGGTATCACTTTGCACTCTAATTATCTTATTTGTGTGTTTCCTTGTTATCTGCCTTTCTCAGAAGACTTATGATCAGGCAAAAGGGAATCATTTTCTGTTTTTTGTATTTCAAAGATAAGCCCAGGTTCATACACTAAATTATCAATTAGTATTCACTGACTGGTCCTGTCAGGTCATCACATAAACATCCAAAACCAAACCCAGCCCCTTGCCATCAAGTTAGTTAGTTCTGACTCATGGTAACCCTTCATTGGATTTCAGAAGCTGTAAATTTTGATGAGAGCAAATTGGATTATCTTCCACAGAGCACTTTGTGGAGTTGAACTGCCTCCCTTTCTGCTAGCAGCCCAGCAAGTAACCCTCTGCACTACCAAGACTTCTATTAAACAATTAAAAATAGTTTAAACAAAACATTTTAATCTCTTAGATATTTTGTCACTAACTAGCACAGAGGTGAATGACTTGAACTATTAAATGATTGTTACATTATATTCAGCTGCAATTGAGAATTCTCAGAAAGAGAGCGGAAGGTTTTCTGAAGAATACAAGTGCTTCCCCACTAGGTTTGAGTGGAATAGAAGCTGGAATTGAAGCCCCAAGAAGGGAGAAGAATTGAAACCTATTTTCCTCTTTCTCCAATCTAGCCAGTTTACAAAGGAGCTTTGGAACATGTTTCATGACTAACCAAAAAGCTAGTAATCTCCAGAAGTTCAAATCCACCAGGGATTCCATGGGAGAAAGAGGAGCAGTCTCCTCTAGTTATAATTTACAGCCCTCAAAACCAGATGGAGGGTGATTATGAGTAAGAACCAACTCAGTGGCAGTGAATTAAAGCCCATTTTCGGCCTTACATTATCAGAGTGGCATTTAGAAAGTAGAGATGTGAGCAGAGATAGAGAGAAAACAACGATGTGGGGTTTGAAGGACCCAAGTAGGAAATATGTAGGCAGCCTCCTCTCATGTGATTTACACCCCGAAACCCACTGGAGGGTGAGCTGTGAGACATTTCCAACTCCACAGCAATGATACAGGAATAGCTTGGGAAAGACTCATAAAGGAATAATTTGAAAACGAATAGCAATTAAAGCTATTTAGGGTTTGACGCAAGGTAAGGTTAAGATTAGCATTTTCATTGGGAACCATGTATAAATTTAAAGTTAGCTAGCAAAGAGGATTTAGAAAGAATTTGTATGGAAAGGTACTTGAATCTCATGAGCTCTAGTTGTGTTTTTTTTTAAATTAAGATTCTCAGATTCAGCACCACTGATATTTGGGATCAGATAATACTGTCGTGGAAACTTGATGTAGTAGGATATTCAGCAGCATCCTGGCCTGTTCCCACATGCCATTGCTGCCCCCTCACTTGGAACAAATTAAAATGTCTCATATATTTTAGGCATGTTATTAGGAGGGACCAGTGATTAGAAAAGGCATTATCCTTGGAAAGGTGAGGGTCCCCAAAAGAGAGGAAGACTCTCAATAGGATGGATTTACACAGTGATTATAGCAAGGAGCTCAAGGATGTATCAGAGATAAGGATGGCACAGGATAGGGCAAGGCTAAGATCCAGTGTGCATAGGGGTCATGAGTTGTAGCTGACTTGATGGCACTTAACAGATGTTGCCAGATGTGCCCAGAGGAATGGAATCATTCTGTGTGGAGAGCTACAGAATGGTGTTTGTGAACCAGCAACGTCCACCTCTTCTGGGAGCTTGTTAGAAATTCAAATCTTAGAGTCTCCCCAAGCCTGCTGACTCAGCATCCCCACACTAACAGAGTTCCTTCATACCTTAATATTTAAGAAGTACCACAGAACTGAGTTCATTTACATGGACAAAGATATGTGAGAATTTAGCTAGCTTTGAAAAAATGTTGGTTAAACAGTTGACATTTTGGTGACTTTTTACACGAGGAGAAGAGAGGAGGCTAATCTCATACTTGACCCAGTCCTCATGACCACAAGGTCCTCTTGTCCTTTGTTGACGGTTCTGCTGAAAATTAATGATGTCAAGTAGACAGCAGCAGTGAATAGGGAGCATCTATGTCCTAGAAAATGGCTTACACCCAGACATTAATGGTTTTCTGTGACCCACTAAGATAATGTATCACTTGGGTAAATAAAATAAAAAATCTTTGAAATGATTAGCCCAGCACTGGCTCATGTATTGGATAATTAATGGCTCTCAGCATTTATGGGAGAGGGTTAAGTAGAGATGTCATCCTTTCCCTGAAAACCTCAAATTATGACTGGCTTCTGGTGATTTATGATCTGCTTTGCCACAAAGCCCCATATTCTGAAGGCCTAAATCATCTAGGGACAGTTTTAGCCATATAAACTGTGCATATTCTGACCTCATTATAAAAATCGAGCAGGGCATTCTGCTAAGGTGAAGCTGCTGGCGGCAATATCTGTAGGAGTCTCTTGCAGGGTGGATAATAGATTTCAAGAATCATAAAAAAAAAACCTTGCACCTGGAATTATAGGTAGAATCACTGCAAAAGCAGGCCTCATCTGCTAGAAAAACCCGTTAGAGTGCTTAAAAACCAGGAGTGCACATCAGAGGAGCACTGGAGGTTCAGTAGTGGGGTTCTGCATTTCCATATGGAAGATCCGAGCCTGATTCTTGGCCAATGCACCTTATGTGCAGCCACCACCCATCTGTTCCTGAAAACTTCTGTGTTGCTGTGACGTTGAACAAGTCTAAAGCGAGTTTCCAGACTTAAGACAGAATAGGAAGAAAAAGAATGATGATCGACTTCTAAAAATCAACCATGAAAACCTTGTGGATTGTGAAGGTCTAATTTGCACCCCTCATCAGGATGGCCTAAGGCTGGGGGACATTTCTTTCTATTCCATTGTGTTTGGGGCTGCCTTGAGTTTAGAGCTCAACTCAACCGGTAACTAACAACTATTTCAACAGTGTAAGCAAAGCTCTAATGTCAGACTCCCATATTCAGTGGTTAATGTACTTGAAGGTTAATGTACTGTCACCAGATAGCTATGAGAGGTCTCATATTGGTGAGGGGTGGTTATTCTCTAGATTGTTGGGTCCAGGCTAATGGTGGCTCTCACCCCATTTATCTTCGTCACCTCTGTCACAGCCAGCTGGAAAGGGGAAGGTGAGAGGTGGTGCATGCCCAAACGCCAAAATGATACCTCTCACTTTGACCCACATCTCCAGACTAGAATTCTGTCACATGGCCACATTCACAGCAGGGAAGCTGGATGAGACACTCTGTGTGCCTAGCAGGCTCGTGAACCAGTAGATGTCTACCTCAGAGATTTCCAAAGCACCATGAGATGTATTTATGTTCTAGTCCCACTTATCTCTTCAGATTTTCATCAATCAGAACTTGAGTTTCTTGAGCTTTAATTATGTGTGTGGCTGGACTTGTAGAGGTTGATGTCACTTTTATCTTCTTAACATAATTATCTCCTAAGTAGCTGCTCTATTGCAAGAACTAAAGGAGTATTTTATAGTTATCAAAGAAAGGGGGATCTGGGAGAACAAGTATTGTTCTGCCTGTCCTGGGATGGAGGAGAGGACAGACATCTCTAAGGAATTTTTCCCTAGGGTACATACATTCCTAGCTATACTGAATCTTTTTTATAGTCTTATATAGGTATTATAAAATTACTGCTAACAGGATTTACATACCGTTCATGAGTCAGCCAACTCAATGGTACCAAACAACAAAATTTTATTTATTTCCATGAGATCATTTCATGTTGTTGTTGTTATGTTCTATTCAGTCACCTACAACTTACAGTTAACCTATGTACAAAAGCTCTGAACCCTGCCCTGTCCTGAGCCGGTGTCACTGACTCTGACACACCTAATCCCATTGTCCCAGTTACCATGTCAATCCATCTCATCCTGTTCTCCCTCTCCTCTGCCATCCCTCCACCCCTCCAAGCATGATGTCCTTCTCCAGGACTGGTCCCTCTTTGCCATGTGCTCAAAGTATATGAGACAGAGCTTCAAAATCCTCGCCTCCAAGGAACAACTTGGTTTCACCCTCCCCAAGAACAACCTAATTAGTTCTCTTGTATATTCAGTACTCCTCTCAGCATCACAACTCAAAGGCATCGCTGCTTCTTTTGTCATCCTTAGTTATTGTCCACCTCTCTGAGAAACAATTTTTTTTTTTTACAGCTGGAGAGTTCTGTGATTACCTAATCAATTCCATTTCTTAGCTAGATTCAAATTTTTCAGCAAAGTTGTGGAACATAATTGCTACCAAATTAAAGTTAAGTTCTCGTACCATTCATTGCCTTGCTTGGCTTTCTCAGGGTTTGAATGCAGTCTTTGACATCTTGGTGATTGGCAAATTAAATATTCTGGAAATTGTTCAGAAGGTATTACGCAAAGACAAGTCCTTAGAGGTAAGTATGCACTTTTGTCTTCATCCCCGATATCAGAAATGTCAAGTACCAGCTGATTTTAAATGCCATGTTCAAAGTATATCTTGTGATTTGTATTCTGAAATAGTCAGCTCTTTAGAGCACAAAGCTGTTCAGGCAGAATTGCTGTACATTTATACCTGACTTGATCACCTTTATATTTGAAGACCTGTAACATCGGTGGCTCTGCGATTTCCTTCTAGAACTTTTCTGTGCTCAGGAATGGGGGTCTTCTCTTCAGAATGTGTCTCCTGACCTCTGGGGGAGCAGCCATGCTGTACATGCGCTGGAAGATCATGGGCACAGGCCCCCCGGCATTTACAGAGGTGGACAACCCGGCTTCCTTTGCTGACAGCATGTTGGTCAGGGTGAGTTCCAGTCTTCTCTTCAGATTAATCCCTTTCCCAACTAATTCCTGGGTCCTTCATCCCTCTACCTCACTGCAAGTCTCTGCCAGTCAGTGTCTTTAGTAAATGAGATGTTTCCATGCTGTTTGTTAGGATTATTCCAGAATGAAATTAGGATTTTGCGCTTTTTTATTGTTATAACCTCCCACTTCACACACAGGCATGTGCACATATAATACACTATGTGCCAATTTAATGATTTTCAGGTGTACGATTGAGTGGCATCAATTACTTTAGCTATGCTGTGTAATCGTCGTCTATTGTTGGCAACTTTCCTATTACCATAAACAAAAACCCACTTCTTCCACAAACGGGAACTCCCTCTGTTCCTCTCCCTCCTGCTCTCAAAACCACTAATAAATGCTGGCTTCCCTGCATTTGCCTAGTCTTGTTAATTCATATATGTGAGGTCATGCTTGGCCTTTCACAGTTATTTTATTCAGTACATTCTTTTCAAGACCTTGTTCATATCGTACCGTGTGTCAGTACTTCTTTTCTCTTTATAGCTAAATCATATTCCATTTAGGAGCCTAGTAGCGTAGTGTATTATGTGTTGCACTGTTAACTGAAAGACTCCACAGCTGCTCCAAGAGAAACAGATGAACATCCTCTTTCCATAAAGATGTAACCTGATGGAGGATCACTGTGAGTCAGCATCGACTTGACTGTGGTGGATTTGGGTTTAGTTTTAGTATTGAAAAGCCAGGTTTTATCACGAGATATTGAAATAGGATAAACCTGTGTTTCTTTGGCAATTATAATAAAAATTACTCCTTTCAAGGTTAGTTTTCCTATCTGCCCTGTTACCTCTGTTTCCTTACCCCATTACTTTCATTGTTAAAGGAAAGTGATGTGTCTGAGTTAAGACAAAATTCAACAATATCAGATATATCTTTAAAAGTCCAACATAAAGACTTTGCTTATTCTTTATGTTTGTTTGTTTTTTCTAAAGTCAAGGTGGTGAGCTACACGTTCATAGTTGTGTGTTTTGAAGAAACAGAAATCAAGAGAAAGATCATAGACCCTTAATCTTATATGATTAGGAACAAAGAAGACTCTTGGACCATCAGTTTCCTGAATTGCAGACTTAGGGCATCACTAAGTAAATAGGACCTAGTTTGATTCAAAACATAACATGTATAGGCTTGCCTAGTCTTTTTGTTCTAGTTTTGTCTGTTAAACTATGAATGTGTAAAAGAAATACCAGACTACAATCCCCTCCTAAGCATAAAACTAGGCAATATTTTATTTTATGTAACTTCTTTCCTTGAATTGAAGCCTATTTGTGCATTAGAGGTGAAATTAGGATAAATACATAATGTTTTTTAGAAAGTTCAGTATCAAATAAATGTTTGTTTTCCTTTTGACTGACAGGCCATAAACTATAATTACTACTATTCATTGAATGCATGGCTGCTGCTGTGTCCCTGGTGGCTGTGTTTTGATTGGTCAATGGGCTGCATCCCCCTCATTAAGTCAGTCAGTGACTGGAGAATAATTGCACTAGCAGCACTCTGGTTCTGTCTAATTGGCCTAATATGCCAAGCCCTATGCTCTGAAGACAGTCACAGGAGAAGGTAAGAGACAGCGCTGAATTTTAACTTCCACCCTGGGTTGAGTCAGAAGCATTTTGCTAAGTCCAGCACTGATCAGTTTAATGATTTTGTGGAAGTCATGTCTAAGGACATTTCTTTCAAATGCATATTTATGGCTCTGATGGGTTCCATGCATTTGGAGCGCATCACCTACCTTCAACTAGTGGGGAGTAGACTTGGAGGAGGGGTTATGACTGCTTCATGCCCCTTCCCTTCCCCCTGTGAAGTAGCGTTTGGAGTCCTTTGCACTGTAGGTGGTAAAGAGTAATTTATGGTCAGAACAGAGAGTGTAATTGATGTACGTTGTGCCCATTATTTCACAATTCTCTCTCAGAAAACCCTGGTGAATGCTATAGTAGTTCCTTCTGCTGCTATTTGGTATGAAATAAGCTGCTGCCCCAAAGACACTATTATTTCCTAGAATAAAAAAAATTGGAAAAATGATTGGAAAAAGCAAACGTGCTTCATGAAAAAAGAAGACTATTTAAAATTATTTTATTTAAGCATAAGTGTTTATGAAATTAAATTAGTAATTTCTCAAAACAAAGTAGGCTCTGAGTTTACCTGGGCCTTAAATTGGTTTGTAATTCTAAAGAACAACAAACTTTAGTCCTAGTTCACTTCACTTATGTTTGTGAAATGGTATTTTCAACAACAGCAACAAACTTTGTACAAAATAGACAGGAAATAGCTTCAAATTTGACGTAGCTTCTTAATTTATCCTCTTCCATTATCTGAGACATTGGAAATAATTGGCTAACAATTCAGAAATGTTTTACTGCTCAGCTTTTATTTTTTGTCTGCTTGTGAACTGTTGTGATCTAATAACCAAACGTGATAGTCATTTGTTTCAGACTTTTTATAATTCCAAACCAGTTAAGTATTATTTTTATTCAATTATGTTTTCTGTAAAAACTATGTTTCTTTGGTACTATGAGGAATAGATGAGTTTGCCAGGCCTCATAAATGTGATCATTATAACTATATTTATATGAACCATATAGCTTATCAGTTTTATTCATATGATTAATGATAAGTGTTCTAGTCATATGTTTATATTTTGTCCAAATTCTGCCAGGCTAAAACGTCTGACATACTCTGGGCATGTTGCAAGGAGGAACCAGTCCTTGGATAGGACATCATGCTTGGGAGGGTGGAGGGACAACACAAGAGAGATGGATTAAGGTGGATTGACTCAACGACTGGGGTAATGGGAGTAGGTGTGACAGAGATAAGGTTGGTGCAGGGTAGAGCTGTTGTACATAGGGTCACTATGAGTCACAAGCAAATTGATGGCACTTAACAACACCAAACACTCTCGACTCATGACACTTTTTTGGCCACTGATGATGCCTTTGCTCAATTGCGGATATGATGGAGGAAGGTCATTATCATTAATTAAATGATGAATAGGACCTTTCTCTTGAGAAGCCTAAGAGAAGCCATCATAAATATCTGTCCTTTTCCAGGATCCTTACGCTGGGCCTGGGTTTCCTCCTTATCCCATTTCTTCCTGCAAGTAACCTGTTCTTCCGAGTGGGATTTGTGGTTGCAGAGAGGGTCCTCTACCTCCCCAGTGTTGGGTACTGCATGCTGCTGACGTTCGGATTCGGAACTCTCAGTAAACTTACAAAGAAAAAGGTAATTATCCACTTATGGGGCCATGTCAGATGGTGCAAATAGGAGTTTGACTACTAAGCAAAAGGTTGGCCATTCCAATCCACTCAGATCTGGCTGTTGACAACCCTGTTGAGCACAGTTATGCTTCAGCACACGTGGGGTCACTGTGGGTCAGAACTGAGTGGACAGCAACTGATGTAGGGGTTTTGTTTATTTTAATTTAGTACCACTAAGGATCATAATTATTGGGCAGATTTTAACCAACGACATCTGTCATTTTTCTCTATTTTTAAGAAACTAGTCGCTGCCCTTGTGCTTGGCATTTTGGCCATAAACATGCTGAGATGCATGGTTCGCAGTGCTGAGTGGCGGAGTGAAGAACAGCTCTTTAGAAGTGCCCTCTCTGTGTGTCCTCTCAACGCGAAGGTATGCAAGTTGCTCCATTTATTTTATAGAGTCCTGGGTAATGCTTAAGTCCAGCATCTGAATGTCTATCTTCATGCAAATTCATCACAAGACCATGACTTAATACTTTGTGGGTTTTTATGATTTTTATAAGATTCTTGGAGTGATTCAAAAGAAATAATTAAATCAGACATTATCAGTGAAGCAGCATATTACGTAAATATCTTGTGCATGTTCCATTCGAGTCATTTACCCTTTGTGGTTGATGGCAGGGCTGGTTTATAATGAAGCAATCTGAAAGCTACTGCTTTTACTGTATGCTTGAAGACCTTTTAATTGGGATGATAATCATAATGTTGGTTTGAACCTACCAGCCCCTTTGAGTAAAAAAGACAAAGCCATCTACTTGTGTAAATATTTGCAGCCTTGGAAACTCTATAGGCAGTTCTTTTTGGTTTTACAGGGTTATTATGAGTTAAAATTAGCTCCATGGCAGTGGATTTAACTTTTTTTAGATGAAACAAACCTTTTTTGAACTTTCAGTGCTTTTATGTACTGTTATTCTGTGCCATCAAATCAGAACCGACTTTAGCTTACCTGACAATAGGTTTCCCGAGGCTGTAAATCACACTCCTCTTTCTCTCATGGAGCGGTTGGTGCCTTTGGATTGGCAGCGTTAACTCCTGGCCAGGCCAACATCTGTAGTGTACTGAATTTTCAGTGCTTTTTATCTGTAGAATTGTGAGGGCTTAAGAAAATGCTGTAGCTAATTAAGTGCCCTAACGTGGTATTTTAGCATATAATCAATGCTTAAAAATACCAGAATAATGCCTATTTGTGTTTTATTGACTATGCAAAGGTATTTTTTTTATTGTGCGAACAATAACAAATTATGGCTAATATTGAGAAGGATAGGAATCCCAGAATTATGCTGAATGTAACCTATACCTAGACCAAGGGCCTGTTGTGTAAACAAAGCAAGGGAAAACTGTGTGATTTAAAATCAAGAATGGTGCACCCCAGAGCTTTATTCTTTTTCTGTAACTGTTTCATCTATAAGCTGGACAAATATTTGAGAAACTGGACTTTATGAAGAGGAATGTGGAATCAGGATCAGAGGAGAACTCATCATTGACCTGCATTATGCAGTTGAAACCTTGCTTGTTGAAAGTGAAGAGGAGGTGAAAGACTTCCTGCAAAAGATAAAAGACTACATTCTTCAATGTAGATTATGTCTCAACATCAAGAAAGCAAAGATCCTTACCACTGGGTCAATATCTATCATGATAGATAAAGACTGAGGTTGTCAGTGATTTCATCCATTTCATTGGATCCATAATCAACACTCTTGGTACTAGCAGTCAAGAAATCAGAAGGCATGTTGCGTTGGGAAAATCTGCTGTCAAGGACCTCTCCAAAGTGCTGAGAAGCAATGATGTCAGTTTAAAGACTAACTTGTACCTGATTCAAGCCATGGTCTTTTCACTTACTTGCTGTGCATCTAAAAGTTGAACAATGGCTAAAGATGATAGAAGAAGAATTGATGTCTTTGAGTTGTAGTGTTGGAGGAGAATATTGAATATTCCATAGACTGAAGAAAGAACAAATAAGTCTTGGAGGAATTACAACCACTGCGCTCCTTAGATGTAAGGACAACAAAGCTTAGTCTCACACACTTTGGGCATGTTGTCAGGAGAGGCCAGACAAGAAAAGACCCACAGGGAGGTGGACTGATGCAGTGACTTTAACAGTGGACTCAAGTTTATCAGAGATGACACAGGATAGGGAAAGCAACAGGTGCTCAAAAGATGTTAGCCTTCTTAAGCTCATTTTCTTTCTGGTTGCCACAGTAAATGATATGTTAGTCTTATCTACTATTAAGTCTGCACTGATTTATAGTGGCTTGGTATATAACAGAACAAAACATTGCCCAGTCCTGTGTCTCTTCCTGATTACTATTGACAGGAATCAGAAGAGGGAGATTTAGTTTTGGGGAGGTGGGGGGTAGATACACACACACACACACACACACACACACACTTTTTTTCTTTGAGTGATCGAAATTGGAGCTACCCAGTGTAATTAGAGGTGGGGGGTAGATACACACACACACACACACACACACACACACTTTTTTTCTTTGAGTGATCGAAATTGGAGCTACCCAGTGTAATTACAAGAAAGCTCTAGTAATTTCATCCACAGAGAGTGGCAATACTAACCGAGGTGGTCAGTTCAAATCCACCAGCAGCTCCAAGGGAGAAAGATAGGCAGTTTTCTCTCATGTGAGTTACAGCTTTGAAACCTGCTGGAGGGTGTGCTGTGCATCAGCTCCAACTTGACAGCAATTAGAACTGGAGAGAGTGAGAACAGTGATTTGACTTGTGTAATCTTCTAGGAGAGGGAAAGGGCTCTCTGGGGTTCTGTCTTTATTAGCTGGTGCTGCTGTAACAGGTAGCACCGTGAATGGCTTTAACAATCAAATCTATCTTCTCAATCTTGGAGCTACAAGTCAGAATTTTGGAGTGCTGGCCTAATGGAAGGCTCCCCACCCACCCCCACCTCCACTCCTGTCAATTGTGGGGGAAAGTCCTTTCTCTTCAGCGTGATTTCTTTGGCTTTGACATGTATCCTCCCCCATTTCTTCATGCTAGCTTGCTTGTTTAAACTCTTATATTTCAAAAGAAATCAATTCTAAACACACTGTACTCTAATATTGCCTCATTAACATAACAAAGACAACCTATTCCCAAATAGGATAGGATTATAAACACAGGCATAGAAATGTTAGGATTTACTACACTTTTATTTTTTTTATTTTTGTTTTTTTTAGAAGGTAGGGGGCAGGATATAATTCAGTCCATAGTAGGTTCCTTTTTAATATACATTCTTTACATATATGTAAAGATGTAAAGAAAACCAGTCATTTCAGGAAAATTAAATAATTAATGTCTGATTGTAGCCCTGAATAAAGAAAAGATAGTATAGAAAGTACTGACTCTTAGTCACTTTTTTTTCCTAAAAGAATTTTGTTCCTGTTTTATGTTTAGGAAATTAAGATAAAGAAATAAATGAGCTTCTGTTTTTATCTTTAATTTGATTTGCTGACCTACCAATTTACTTTATGCCACAAAAAAGAAACTATTATTTAATTTCATAAACATTAACAAATTTGCTTTACTTTTACTTTTCTATTTTAATAGCAGTAATTACTCCTTCTATTTATATAGTTTTTCTCCACAAGAAATTCAGGTTTATTTGTTGAGGCTGTATAATGAATCTCTAGCCAGAGAATCTCTAGCTTAGAGGCAAGGGTGGTGGAGGTTTGTGTCACATACTGTGGACATGTTAGGAAGAGCTGTTGCTTAAAAGGAGACATCATCCTTGGAAAGGTGGAGGGTCAGTGAAAGAGAGGAAGACCTTTAACGATATGGATTTGAGCAGTGGACTCAAGTGTGTCAGAGATGGTGTGGGTGGCACAGGATAGGACAGGGTTCAGATCCATTGTTCATAGGGTCACTATGAGTTATACTCGATTCAGCAGCACCTAACAACACAATAGTCCTCTCTCTACTCTCTCTAAAGTCTCTTCTGAGAAAGGTCTTTATGTGTCCAGATGGAGGAAACTGAGACAGAAAGATTATGCTGACTACTTAGACTTACACAGATGGCTCGTTTCAGTAGGGAGCTCTGGTGCGGTAGTCCATATGAAGTTGCACTGCTCACTCAACGGCTGAGCCTCTCTGACAGTTTGGATCCACCAGCTGCTCTGCAGGAGGATGGACAGTCTCATCCCATGCAATTTACAGACTTGAAAACCTCCTAGAGGGTTGGGTATCAGTCAGAGCTGATGACATGACAATGAGAGAGAGGGTCATTTAGGTGGTTAGACTAGACTGATAAGATGCTGCGGGTTACTCTAGTTAAATGAGAGGTTAAAAGGACATATGTGACATCGGAGCCTACAAGTCAACCCCTGTGAATAATTTCACAAGTTATAGGCTACAAAACACAAGGCAAGTGAACAGGTACATATACGTATTTATATATATA